CGATGAACAACGCCTACAACAAAGACCTCATAAAAGTGGCCAAACATTGCGCTCAGGGATTGGGATTAAAGCCCTTTTTGCGGGAAGGCGTGTATGTGATGACTGGCGGACCCACTTATGAGACAATTGCCGAAATCAGATTTCTGGTCAATTATGGCGATGCCATTGGTATGCCATTTGTCTTTACATTAATACAGATATAAAACATGCAGTAAATTAAATATTTGTGAACAACAGGCATGAGTACAGCCCATGAGGTGACGGTCGCCCATCACTGCGGACTCCGAGTGTTTGGTCTCTCTTTGATTACCAATCAATGCATTTCCGATTACGAGAGCAAATCGGCGGCCAATCACGAGGAAGTGCTCGAAGCGGCCAAAGGAAGAGCCAAAGACTTGGAGATATTCATTGAGACATTAGTCGAAAACTTTAATAAATACGACCTCTTTCTCCAAAAGAGCGCTAAAAAGTCCGTCAAATGAACGCAACTATTATTTAATTGTCATTTTGTGTGGCATTTGATATGATATTACTATTAATAAACTGAATTTTAAAAATCAAATATTTCTTTTTTATGTGTTTGAGTAGAAATAAGGTTTAAATACAGAATAAATCAAAACATTTACATTATATAGAAGTAGTTATAATTCAATTAAAGGATTATTATTTAACTATTTTCTTAATGAATTCTCGGGTAAACAATACTAAACATAAGGTTTGAAGTTAGGGTAAAAACATTATTTGCATTATTTGTTATAAAACCACTAATAATTTTAACAATTATACGAAAGTCTTGAGTATAAAGTGATGACACAATTGTGTCATAGGATTAGGAGTTTATGTCAGCAGAACTCGAAGAATAGCATTAATAGTAATGAAAAGGTATTCAATAAGATATACGTTTATAACAGTTATTCAAATGTATTATCCGTTAAATATAGACTCAAATGTATGCCAAAGACTCATTTGATCGATTCGGTGATGATTTGGTCACACTTTTGCTGTCATATCACACATTCGATGACCGAATCCATACATTTGAGAGCAGATCCCGACACGAATGTGTCTCAAAACAATTTCAGAGATTTATTTATAAAACCATTCGTGAGATTCATATCAAAGACAAACTCATTGATAGAATGAAAGGCAAAGAATCGGATATTTCAGATGAAGAATTGTATAAAAAAGTTATTCAATTTATTGCCAACAAATGCTCAAACATTCAAAGTATACAATATTTGGATGTGGTTTGGAAAGAAACCTATGATTATACAGATTCAGTACTGCAAGCCATCCATCAATTGCCACTTCTTAAAAGTGTTTCTTTTGGAATTAAGTTTGTTTACACTAAACATACATTTTATACTAAACTATCACCATTTGGTTCCATTATCAACGAAATGGCAATTATGGCCACAAATCAGTTCCCATATGAACAACATTTTCCCAAATTGTGTTGCCTTTGGATCACTAAATTAGACGATATGTTTGCCACAGAAGGCAATCATTTATTAAAATTCAATTATTTAAAAGAAGTTCACACGTGTTTCACCAATGATTACAATTCAGAAAGTTTTGATCAATTTATAGCATACTATGGCTCACGTCTTCAAACATTCGCTGTATATATACGGGAGATAGCGATGAACTCAATGACAGAATTCACTCAATTCTTAACACAATTGTCTGGATTACGAGAATTAAAGAAATTAATTATTGTTTTTAAAATCAATTGTTTCGATTTTGCTTCACAAATAGCCCTTCAATATTCACTATACGCTAATCTAAAGACAATTGGATTCAAGTGTCCAAAACTGAAACAATTTATACTAATAGCAAAATTAAAGGACACGACTTTGATTGTAGAGATACTGAATTCAATTCAATTTATGCCGCGTTTAAAGCGATTGACTTTATTTCTTCAAATTGTTGGCCTTCTTAACGGAAACAATGCCACCGATTGGACGCCATTGGAACCATTGAATCGTTGGCCACGACTCACACACTTATCACTCGCTTTGTGTAACTTTCGGCAAGAATTGATTGAAGAGATTGTGTCCACACAACCAAAACTTCAAGTATTGTCGATTGGACGCCATTGGAACCATTGAATCGTTGGCCACGACTCACACACTTATCACTCGCTTTGTGTAACTTTCGGCAAGAATTGATTGAAGAGATTGTGTCCACACAACCAAAACTTCAAGTATTGGGAATGTGTTATTACACATATGTTGACAAAAAATGGTTGCGTTGTATCACAAGATTGTCGTCATTGGAAGAGTTGTGTATCAGTTATAATGATTATCAAGACTTTAGAAAATCCGATTTAAAGCGAATTTGGCAAAAGTGTCCCAAATTGAGATCAATTGAAATCAACGACAAAATAATTGATAAGAAATTCTTTGAACGGAAATTTATTCCTAAATGTGTTATTCTGTAGAAAATATTTGTATTATATTATAAACACTCATTAAATGAAAGTAATTATTATCTAATTGTTATTTTGTATGGTATTTGATATGATTTTACTATTTAAAAAAATGAATGTTAAGAACAAAATAAAATTTTTATTTAAGTTTTAAATACATATACGGATTGAATAACTTAAACAAAAGGCTAATCGATGCCATCAAATATCGAGGTCTTCGTCTGGATCTTCTTCATCGATGTCATCGTTTTTGTCGAATTCATAGAATACTTTTGTTTCCTCATGTGTTCTGAAAGATATATCACTTGTGTTAACAAATGTTTTAATAAATTTAAATTAATTATAACTTTACTTAATATAAGGCAACAAAAGGTTATTTTTTGCCTCCAATTCACTGGACTTAAGGCTCAAATTAAATGGTATATTAAGAGTGGGATCAGCGCTGGACTGATCGCCAAATGATTGTCCATTGAGTGTCTCATTAATGTCTTTCACATAAACTATATTACAGTCACTGATTGTGAAGAATTCAATGGATTGTTGGACAGCGAAGTGTGTCTTCCGGTGAGGCTTTCGGTGTCTAATAATGGCTTTAAAACACTCGACACTATTATCGGTGATCTTCGGCGACAAATGGATCACCGAATGAGACAACTGTTCGACCGATTCGTTCACGTGTTGTGAATGACAGTCGACGTGAAGAACGGAAACCAATTGTTTGAATCGATTCATCAATTGATTCAAAAGACACACACTTTCGTGCAATGAGTCCATCAATAGTATGGGTGTCAACGAGTCGATCACCACAACTGATTCGCCGTCCAATTGGTCCAACTCTCGCATCAAATGGTGTCCGAAGTTATCATCGATGGTGTGATACGCGTTGAACAGATCCACTACTCTTAGCCTATCGGTGAGCGACGGATCAAATGACTTCAACCAAACATTTGCCGGCTTTTCAACGCAGACCACAATCGCCGGCAATTGTCTCAACCGATGGCCGATCACTGCGCGGACCAATTGTCTTGAATCACACGCCAAGTGATCGCAAATGAGTGTAAACCGTGAGCTGTGATCAGTGGTCACCACTTTGGACAGCAATCTGTTGTTTTTGACCACTTTATTCATTATATCATACAATCAATGGTAATGTCTTTCAATGAAAGTAAAGCAAACTTCGGATCAAAACATTTGATGACAACAAACAACACGTGTTTTCACTACAACTGTATATTCAATGAATGAATGAATGCTTGCAATGCATACGACGGCTGACAACACACTATTGGGAAACCCTTTGACAGCAAACACAGCATTTCATCGCTGTATTAGATTCTGGCATTTGATTGGCTCTCAATATTCACATCAATTGACAATTAAATGTAAAATTTAATTTAGTTTAAAATAAATATTCATTTTTAACGTAAAAACTTTTAGCGAAACAACGCTTTCAATCAATTTTGTTGGATGTCTAGTGAAATGTTACCAAAGAAAAGTTTGCCACAAAATAAAAGTTGTCAAACTTTATACATTACGTTAAGTTATTGATTGTTGAGTTAATTGATTGAATTAAATATATTGTTTAAACTATAAATTTATTGAATGAACTCTAATACAGATATTATTTAACGTATTTCTTTAAATAAATATTTGAAATATAGTTTAAATTCAATTTAAATACTGATTAATAACAGATAATCAATGAATTGATTGATAAATACTGTATTAAATTAAGAAATATTTTGAGACAATTTTGGCACAAAATAATGAGTGATTTGAGAGAAAAGTCGACAAATCTGTCGAGTCCTCCATCAATGACAACATGGGATCCAAACAAATCATTTCGACATAATCTCCAACTTTTACTCCATTCCTATCGCTTCCAGATATTCATTGTTGTATTGGTTGTCATCGACTGTATAGTTGTGGTCACGGAATCGTTAATTGATTTGCAGATCTATCGCAATGAATACAACACAACACATACCAGAGATATCAGTGAATACCATAAGACAGCCCATAGTATATCAGAAGTGTTGCAATACATTAGTATCGCTATTCTCGTCATCTTTACGATAGAAATAGTATTAAAAGTGTTTGCCTTTCGGTGCGAGTTCTTCAAGAATCCATTTGAATTGTTTGACGCCATTATTGTGATCACATCTCTGGGTCTGGACATCATCTTCAGTCAAAACGCTGATATGAAACGATACATAAGTCTAATGATTGTATTGCGTTTGTGGCGAGTGATAAGAGTGGTTCACGGGATCATTATATCAGTGAGAATGCCATTGGAGGCCGTCATTTCGTCTAATTTAGTGATCCAAAGGCAACACAATTTGGGAAAATGTTGTTCATATGGGAACTGATTTGTGGCCATAATTGCCATTTCGTTGATAATGGAACCAAATGGTGATAGTTTAGTATAAAATGTGTGGTTAGTGTGAATAAACTTGATTCCAAAAGAAACACTTTTAAGAAGTGGCAATTGATGGATGGCTTGCAGTACTGAATCCGTGTAATCATAGGTTTCTTTCCAAACCACATCCAAATATTGTATACTTTGAATGTTTGGGCATTTGTTGGCAATAAATTGAATAACTTTTTTATACAATTCTTCGTCTGAAAGATCCGATTCTTTGCCTTTCATTCTATCAATGAGTTTATCTTTGATATGAATCTCACGAATGGTTTTAAAAATGGATCTCTGAATTTGTTTTGAGACACATTCGTGTCGGGATCTGCTCTCAAATGTATGGATCCGGTCATCGAATGTGTGATATGACAGCAAAAGTGTGACCAAATCATCACCGAATCGATCAAATGAGTCTTTGGCATGCATTTGAGTCTATATTTAACGGATAATACATTTGAATAACTGTTATAAACGTATATCTTATTGAATACCTTTTCATTACTATTAATGCTATTCTTCGAGTTCTGCTGACATAAACTCCTAATCCTATGACACAATTGTGTCATCTCTTTATACTCAAGACTTTCGGATAATTGTTAAAATTATTAGTGGTTTTATAACAAATAATGCAAATAATGTTTTTACCCTAACTTCAAACCTTATGTTTAGTATTGTTTACCCGAGATTTCATTAGGAAATCAATAAATAATAATCCTTTAATTGAATTAAACTACTCCTATATAATGAAAGTGTTTTGATTTATTCTATATTTAAACCTTATTTCTATTCAAACACATAAAAAAGAAATATTTTATTTTTAACATTCAGTTTATTAATAGTAATATCAATAATCAAATGCCACACAAAATGACAATTAAATAATAGTTGCGTTTATTTGACGGACTTTTTAGCGCTCTTTTGGAGAAAGAGATCGTATTTATTAAAGTTCTCGACTAATGTTTCGATGAATATCTCCAAGTCTTTGGCTCTTCCTTTGGCCGCTTCGAGCACTTCCTCGTGATTGGCCGCCGATTTGCTCTCGTAATCGGAAATGCATTGATTGGTAATCAAAGAGAGACCAAACACTCTGAGTCCGCAGTGATGGGCGACCGTCACCTCATGGGCTGTACTCATGCCTGTTGTCCACAAATATTTAATTTAATGTATGTTTTATATCTGTATTAATCAAACTGCAAATGGCATACCAATGGCATCGCCATAATTGACCAGAAATCTGATTTCGGCGATTGTCTCATAAGTGGGTCCGCCAGTCATCACATACACGCCTTCCCGCAAAAAGGGCTTTAATCCCAATCCCTGAGCGCAATGTTTGGCCACTTTTATGAGGTCTTTGTTGTAGGCGTTGTTCATCGGCGGAAAGCGCGGACCCCAGCGCTCATCGTTGCGGCCCCGGAGGGGACTGTTGCCGGAAAATGCGGCCAAATTGAGCTGATCCTTAATGATCATAATGTCTCCCACATTGAATCCCTTGTTCAGACCTCCCGCCGCGTTCGTCACCAGCAGTGTCTTTACTCCCAACAGTTTCATTACCTTTTGATAAATGCATTGAAAAAAAACATAAAAATAAGTTTAAATTAATTTTAATCTCAAAAATTGTTGCTCTTTTTGGGATTATTTAGTTTTGTTTTTAATGCAAAATTTGTAAATTCAAAGTCTCATTGAATTATGGCTTAAGGTTTGCGGCAAATAGGGGTTCAATTTGGTGGAGATATTAATAAATCTAATGATAATTAATGGCAAGTGTTGGGGTGGGGTTGAGTTGGTGTGTCGTTTAGCATTACCCGGACAGGCATTGCACACTTGGCCATAGGGTATCCCTCGTACGGATGAAACCGGCCTTTCATACACACCAGACAAACGCCTTTCAATACGCCAAACACAAGGCACCCGCTATGACCGGCCACTACACGTCAATATACATTATAATTAGTATTTAGTTATTAATAAAAACAAAATTTTTGGTTAATTAGCTATCATTGATGAGAGAATTATTGCAGTAATTATTGGCACACATTCATACAGTACCTGTGCTGACGGGAAAGTTAGGTATAGACTGGTAGTCAAACACATCCTTATCGGATAATAGATCCGCTAAACCACCCAATCCTGAGCCACATATGATGCCAATGGTTGGCCTGTGTTTAGTCCTCTGAAGTAAGTATTTGCTGATGGCATCGATCTCTTCGTAATCGTAGCTATTTTTACGGTAAGTGAAAGAAAAGTAAAAAATTGTCGTTTTCTTCTATCAAATCGTAAGTAATTATCAATTATTATTATTTTTAAACTTATATTTCGATTAAAGAGTTAAGCTTTAAAATTACAACATTTGCATAAAAATCAAATAAATAGTTAATTTGTTTTTACGGTAAATATAAGCGACAAATAAAGGCGAGTGTTTATGCAATCAATTGGGAATATTCTGTGCTATTAATTGATAGGAAAATGTTTTTAATTGAGTTTTTCGTTTTGTTTTCCTCTGATTTTGCGACTATTTATTCAAATTTAAACGAATAGATAAGCGATTAATTTCTCGACGCAAATGAGTGGCTCAGAGAGAGATTACAACCACTCCGACAAACATTAAAAACCAGGTTTTGAATGACTTTTTTGCTTTTATTTTTGGCGTTTAGTTTTTTATTTCAATTAATTTTATATTCAATAAGAAAAACGATAGAGAATTTGAAAGGCTTTCCAGTGAGAGATCTGCGAGAGATTGTGTGATCACATGAACTAATTATAACCAAATTAAATGATTTGAGGGGAAAACTAATTGATTGGTCGGTTTAAAATGTTTGTTAACTACAACTCAAACTTACTTGTTAGTGTTGAATGTTATGTAACTATTGTGTTGTTTGTGGTAAACAACATCTCTATAAACACATTTCTTACGGAATAATTAATTATAATTTTTGCGACAAAATATTTCTAAGAAATCAAAGTTTTGTTTGTTTTTATTATTGAAATATTGTTTTATTTCGTTAATCACATGAATATACGATTTCAATGCGATAGAGAAATAAGAGTTTTTTATTGTTTGGTTAGTTATCTCCGAGAGTAAAGTATTGCACGACTTTTGTTATGATGTAAACTTTGTTTTGTTATCAAATTATGATAAAGGGTTTGCGTTTGCATTATATTTCTATACATGTAAATTATAGATATGTATTAATACAATAAACAAGTTTTGGTGTCTTTTTTTACGTAACCAATTCAATCAGATTTGGTGTTTAACTAAGAATTTTGAATCACACTCTTTGATAGCACTATATATCGAGACCTGATTTCTCTCATATTTTCTTTATTTTTGGGCGAAAAAATGTTTTCCGCAAAAATCTCAAAGCATTTGTGTTTGCGATAAGAGTTTTTAGTTATGATATCAGATCTAATACAGCATTAGATCTTAACGTAGTATAAGATAATAATCAGTTCATAAGTTTTAAATGTATTTCTTTTTTGACCAAAAATATCATAAATAAACCGATAAATAGTGGAAAAATCAGCGAAATTTGTTCACAACTTACACACAAAAGGCGCACATATTTATCAAAACAGTCCAAAAAATGATAAAATATGTGTTTTTTCTTATCTATCATTTGATTTGAAATAACACGAGAGTAGAGAAGGCCAACAATTTGAAGAAATAAAGTCAATCGCTTTAAACGCGG